CGAGACCAAGTGGGCATCCAAACCGACTCCTCCCTCTTACTTTCCCTCCGAAGTTGAGAAGCCTCAAATGGCTGCAGGGGTGTCTCTCTCTCTCTCTCTCTCTTTATCTCTTTCTCTTTCTCTTTCTCTCTCTCGTTCATTCATTCTCCGGAAGCACTTCTCGGCTTGAAACGATTGAGACGCCAACGAAACTCTGTACCATGTCGGTAGAGGTGAACCGACCTTAACCATCCTCATCGAGGCCGTTTGTCGACGTCCTTCTCTCCTTCCTCCTCCTCTTCTTCTTCTTTTTCTTCTTCTTCTTCTTCTTCTTCTTCTTCTTCTTCTTCTTCTTCTTCTTCCTTTTCCTCTTCTCTTCTCGTTTTCACTCTAGTTATCACGTTATACCCTACAACGAAAGTTGCAGTTAATCTCAAAGTTTCCTAAACTTTGACAACTTTAGATCATTTTACCCTAACGTCGTAATGTACTTTCGATTCGTCCAATCGGATTTCAATCGTATACAGAAGAGATGAGTTTTGAACGAATGAATGAAAGTGCGAATGAATGAATGTATGAATGTATGAATGTATGAATGTATGAATGAAAGGAGATAAGAATAGGACGGGGAAAAGAGAAATTAAAAAAGAAATTGGAAAGAAGAGGAAGGAGAAGACTAAAAAAAGGAGAAAAAAGAATAGAAGAGGAGGAAAAAGAAGAAGAAGATTTGCAGGGGCGGACAACGTTAAGAAGTCGAAATCGTTCGGTGATGATCCCCAGCTCGCACGCGTCGTAATTGATTATCTTTAACATCGACGAGAGTAGGACCACCCCGAAGGACAATAAGAAAAGAAAGTAGCGTGAAAGGCAGAGATAGAGAGATAGAGATAGAGACAGAGAGAGAGAGAGAGAGAGAGAGAGAGAGAGAGAGAAAAGCGTTCGGATGATGAATGTGCCGTCTCAGTTACCGCGTCAGCGGGGCTCTGTCGCTCGTTTGTAAACGAGCTTCCCCCTTTTTTTCTTCTTCCTCTTCCTCTTTTTTTTGTTTTTTCTTCTTCTTCGTCTTCTTCTTCTTCTTCTTCTTCTTTTTTTTTTTCTACCATCGACGAGCTCCTCCGTGTGTTCCTTAACGTCGGAAGTCTTGAGATGATTCCTCGCGAGAAAGTAAGAAAGCTGAAAGTCAGGTCTACTATTTATACAGCTATTTATCTTCTCGAAGTATGATTGATTAGTACCAAAGTCATTAATAAAGTTAATAGATAGGTAATACAAAGGAATTTGTTATATCCATTAATATTTATTTATTATGTATATATTTTATATATATATATATATTTATTTATTAAATTTTAATACACTTAAGTTCATCGTAATAAACAATATGATAGATATACTAAGATTTATTAATAAATATAATTTTTGATGTACATATATTTAAATATATATATATATATATATATATTATATTTTATTAAATTTATTTAATTTCGTATTATATATATTTATATAATCTAATATATATTTTACTATACATAAAATTACAAATAACAAAACATTTATAGAGAAGTGATATAAGGTGAGATAGGGGAAGCCATGAGAGATCATACTATTAATGAAGTCCTAATAAACGAGAATTAAAGTCGAGATACTGAAAGAGAAAAAGGGTGGTCACCCCCTCTCAACTGATATTTAATACAAACGTTACAATATCAAAACACGAGCCTAGCAGAATGGCCACTCGAGCGAGCACCCCTTCGCGCCGGTAATACCAGCGTTAGTATATTCCACTTGGGCTGCCTTAAAGGTACACCCCTTTTCGTATTTGTCGCGTGCGCGCGCACAGTACAACACTTACATTTCTCTCTCTCTCTCTCTCTCTCTCTTTTTCTCCTTCTCTTTCTCTCTTTCTCTCTTTCTCTCTTTCTTTTACTCTATGATATTTCGTATCGTGTCGTTGTTGTTGCTCACACGAACACGATACATAAAACTATCATTCCCCTAGGTCCTGAGCATTACAATGGAATCGAGAACTATCGTTTAGGACGACGACAGAGTTATTTACACGTGTTATTATCGCTGGTTGGTTATGAACGACGAATCGTTCAAAAGTGTTACGATATTTGTCCTCTCCCTCTCTCTCTCTCTCTCTCCCTTTCTCTCTTTCTTTCTTTCTCTCTTACTCTCTTTAGTATCCATCTACCTTTTTCTTTTCTTCCTTTCATTTATTTTTTTTTTCTTACTTACCCCCCTCCCAGTACGAAACATTTTGCCTGCTCATTTATGAATTATAACTATAAATGTATAGCTCAAATACATCCCTTGTATACTTTTCTTTATAGGATGCCTTATGTTCGTCCTTCTCTCCCTATTTCCATGACCAAAGAATTTAGAAATTCACTTTCTCTCTCTCTCTCTCTCTCTCTGTATATATATATATATATATATATATATATATATATATATATATATATATAGCAGTAGGATTTTGTAATTCATGAATTATAGAAAGTAAAAGTCAGTGACCAAGGGGAGATAGTGGGGGGGTGTAAGGGGGGGGAGGTGAGGGGTTGTTCTTCTCCGTAAACGGCTAAAGGCAAGCTTTCACGCTTGCCGAAGGCAGAAACACGCGAGAAATCGCGAACGATCGCGAACGTGTACTATCGAGGCCCATTTTCGAAAGTCAATCGACCGTGAGTCTCTTCCCACTCTCCTCTCCTCCCCTCTCCTCATCTCTCCTCTTCTCATCTCTTCTCTTCTCCTCCCCCCTTCTCTCCTTTCCTCTTCTCCCTTCTCGTCGATGGCGTACGCTCGTAAATCTCCCTTATATGACTCTCTTTCTCTCTCTGTCTCTCTCTCTCTCTTTCTCTCTCTCTCTCTCTCTCTCTCTCTCTCTCTCTCTCTCTTTCAACTGACTGACTGCCACCCCGACGACATGTCGAATTAGCCTCGACGGGAAGTTTTTGGGAATCGACGATTCGCAAACGCGTCCTTCGCGTTAAATGGAGCCCCACATTTTGTGGGATCCCTCGGCTTTATCGTTTTACATATATAAATGTATATATATATATATTTTTTTTTTTTTATTTATCTACATACGTAAATGTGTGTGTGTATATCTATCTGTGACTGTTTCCGCCTATGTGTTTTATATTGGATAAAGAACGATCATCCAATATATGTTATTTTATAATGATTATTATTATCGTTATTATTATTATTATTATTATTATTATTATTATTATTATTATTATTATTATTATTATTATTATTATTATTATTATTATTATTATTATTATTATTATTATTATTATTATTATTATTATTATTATTATTATTGTTATTATTTTTCATTTTGAAATAATGAACGAACGTTGATTATTTTATTTTTTCATAATTATTATAATTATTTTTAATATTTAGCGTGTTCTCGATTATATATTCGATATTGTTATCATTATTAATATTATTATTATTATTATTATTATTATTATTATTATTATTATTATTATTATTATTATTATTATTATTATTATTATTATTATTATTATTTATGAAAATTAAAAATTATGAAAAAAGCTGTTGAAAGTTAGAAATATTTTTTAAGGAGCTATTTTTTAAAAAAGAAAGGAAAGAAAATGGAAACACCTTGCATCGTTCTCTGTTCTCTAACGATTGAAGAATCTAACATCATTATAATTCCTCTCTCTCTCTCTCTCTCTCTCTCTCTCTCTCTCTCTCTCTCTCTCTCTCTTCTGAAAAAAATCGAGGCGTGGCAGCTTGGCGAACGTTCGTGTGGTTTACGTCTTGTCAAGGACACAATAAATCGTAAAGTTATCTACGATAGAACAGCTTCTATGATCGTCTTTCTCTCTCTCTCTCTTTGTCTCTCTATGAACGACCCTTTCTAAGCTATGTCATCGTCCTTGAAAAAAAAACGATTGATCTCTAACGCGCGTGAAAAGTATGCGATGAAGTAAGAACGATAAAGCAAAGAAACGCTTTTTTCTTTTCTCTCTCTCTTTCTTTTCTCTTTCTTTTTCTTCTTTTCTCCTTTTTCTTTATTTCTTTTCCCTCTTCTTTTTTTTTGGTTGATCGGGGTTGAAGTTAGAAAGAACACAGAAAAAATACGTGATCTATGAGACAGCAAAATTATTGTTGCGAAAATATCTTTGTAAGATGTAGGGAATTTTACTCTGTTGTGTGTGTATGTGTGTGTGTGTGTGTGTATTTGAGTCGACTAAATGTGATCATAAATTTTTCAATCGTTTGGAAACACGACACATTTTATTTTTAATAGTTCTATTATATATTATATATATATAAAAGAAAAAGAGAAGAACAATTATTCAATCGTTTGGAAACACGTCACTCGTTACCTTCGACATGTTTCTCTTTTCTTTTTCTTTTTATTAACTTTTTATGAAAACACAGTACAATGCTTAATGCTCAAAATTGACACGAGAAAAAAATCATGATAAAAATCAATTTATCACATTATCAGCAGTTACTTGCTTGTATTGATTTCATTCAAAAAAGAATTATTCAATCGTTCGGAAACACTTCACGTTTTATCTTCGCAATGTTTCTTTACTTTATTTCTTTCATAAATTTTTTATAACAACATGAAGTAATGCCTAATACTCAAAATTGACGTAAGGAAAATCCAGATATAAAAATTAATTGATTATTTTATCTGTTAAATCAAAAGAAAAAAAAAAAAAAAAAAAAAGAAAAAGAAAATATATTATCGAATCGTTTGGAAACAACGTCTCTTTTTTTTCTTTTTTTTCTTTTTGTAAATTTTTTTATGAAAATTTGAAATAATACTTAGCGCTCAAAATTAGAACAAGATAATTCTTAATAAAAAGTAAATCTACTTGATCCGTATCAATTTCAATATTTGATATGAAGAAAAAAAAAAAAAAAGAAAAAGAAGCAAAAGAAAAAAAATACAAAATAATTCTTTTGAAATCGTATAATTCTTAATTTTTTTATTAATAAAGAAATATTTTCTCTTCAAGGTCACAGCGGAGTGAACCAATTGGGTGGTGTCTTCGTCGGTGGTAGACCGCTTCCTGATTCGACGAGGCAAAAGATCGTCGAATTAGCTCATTCCGGGGCACGTCCTTGCGACATCTCAAGGATCCTGCAGGTCAGCAATGGCTGCGTTTCGAAGATCCTTGGCAGGTTGGTTGAAATACTGCACGTGCTATTTTTTTATTTATTTATCTTTTCTTTTTCCTTTCTTTTTTCTTTTCTTTCTTTTTTTTTTTTTTTTTTTAATAACATCACCGCCAAACACGATAGAAATCGACAGAAATAATCTTCGAAAATTTTTGGAGGATTAAATTACATGAAAAAAAAAAAAAAAAAAGAGAAAAGAAAAAAAGGCAAAAAAGAAAAAAGAAGAGGAAAAAACATCATTATATTAGCGATCATGTTCATGAGTTCTGTTCGTGACATCTGTGTAAACATTATCGACGATGAAATCGTTAAACTACCGATCTCTCTGTCTCTCTCTCTCTGTCTCTCTCTCTCTCTCTCTCTCTCTTTTTCTTTCTTTCATATGAACATATATGTACATATATTTAAAATGAATATATGGGTTCCTTTAACTTCGTCATATATTAGGATAAATCATATATCATTGAGGGTATAGCATAAATTAATTAACGTAGAGATAAAGATCAGAATGAAGTTTTATAAATACATTAAAAACATATTTGTGAAGTAACGTTATCGTTTAATATTTATCTTTTTCTTTTCTCTTAGAGGTATCCTTATCTTTTAATATTTATCTTCTTCTTTTTTCTTGAAGTATCCTTATCTTTTAATATTTATCTTCTTCTTTTTCTTTTTCTTTGTAACATTGTTTGTTTAATATCGAGAAGCACAAGTATCACTTTTGTACGTAACATTGATTACATCTTCGATAAATCATATGCCGTATTCTTCAACTTTACTTGGAATTCTTCGTATGGAAAAAAAAGAAAAAGAAAAAGAAAAAGAAAAAAAAAAAAGAAGAAGGAGAAGAAGAAAGAAAGAAAAAGACAAAAGGAGAAACAGATCATTCTTCTCGTCGTCCGAATTTCGAGTTTAAAAAAGAAAAAAAGAACAAGAAAAAGAAAATTAAAAAAAAAAAAAAAGAAAAGAAAGAAAAAAAGAAACGAAAAGAAGAAGACAAGAAAGGATGCAAAATTTTGTTGAATCGAATATGAGAAGGATTAAACGAGGACTTGATAAGTCCATACGCAAGGTTACTAAATTGTACCGCAAAATATTATTGTTGCAGGTACTATGAGACCGGATCTATAAGGCCAAGGGCCATTGGCGGCAGTAAGCCGCGAGTGGCCACGGCGGAAGTCGTCAGCAAGATTTCACTTTATAAAAGTGAGTGCCCGTCGATCTTTGCTTGGGAGATCAGAGATCGTTTACTTCAAGAGGGCGTGTGCACGAACGACAACATTCCAAGCGTGAGTAGCCCGTTTACCGCGCCTTTCGATTTATTCTTTTATGTCGTCATACATATTTACATCATCTGCATCATGTTACATACATATACTGTATATACGTATATATGTATGTATGTATGTATGTATATGTATATATATGTATATATATATATATATATATTATATAAAAAAGACTATATATATATATATATATATATATATATATATATATATATATATATATGTAGGGTATAAGAAATTTCAAAAATGTTATAGAATAGAAGATATCATTGGAATCGGGTTTTATTCATTTCAATTTTATTTTGACATAGAAAAAAAAAAAGAAAAAATAAAGAAAAAATAGAAAAATGCATTTGAATATTCGTTAACATCTTGAAATCGTTTATAGAGAATATATTGTAATTTTAATATCAAGTAATTTCTTCAATGATTTGATATAATTTTTTAAGATCGACGAACATTTAATATTATTTAATTAAAAAAAATTACTCTTTTTATTTTCCAAATTAATTTCCATTTTTATTTCTATAATAGTAATTTTTAAATATAATAATTTTATTGCAACGTGTGTATTTAACGTTAACGAATATTTAATATTAGTTCAGTAAATTATAATTATAGTTGTATTTTATTATGTCCGTACACAAACTATGAACGTAAATATCTATATATATATATAGATATATATTTACATAAGATACATTTATATTAAAAATCAAACAAATTTTTATTGAAATAATATTTAAAATCTTACATAGTAGAACTATGTAATATATATATATATATATACACATACATACATATCTTCAGAAAAGAAAGAACTGGTAATATATAGATACGTACATAAAATAAACATACATACATATATATGTTTATACAATACATAGAGTATCGAGATACTTGTACGCACGTAAACGCGTTTAAAAGCGTTCACCATGTTGTCAGTAAAGGGCTGGTACGAGCGTGCTCAACGAGAGAACGGTTGTAAAGACGATGTCATAAAGCATGTCGCAAAACACACGTAATGGAGCCCAACTTTTCGGTATGA